TCATCCATGTTATTGTGTGAATCAATAGCTCACTCCTTTTTATCACCAAATAATTTTACATTGTATGGATATACTACAGTTTGTTCATCCATCCATCTATTTAAAGATATCTTGATGACTTCACTTTTTGGCAGTTATGAATAAAACTGCTATAAACATTTATGTGCAAGTTTTTGTGTGGATGTAAGTTTCAAGTCAGTTGGCTAAATACTTAGGAGTACAATTATCCATATTACAGCTCAATAAATATTTAAGAAGTAAACAAACCCATCAGCTAGCCCCACCAACAGAACATTGCCAGCACTGCGAAAGCTGTCCTCAGGCCCTCTCCCTATTGGATAATACATTCCTTCCTCTCTGAAAGTCACAATTATGTTGACTTCATCACCATACACTAATTTTGTCTGGTTTTGAACTTTAAATCAAAGCATACACCACATTCTTCTTTGTGTCTGGCTATTTTTGCTTAACATCTTTCATGTTTTATGTGGTAGTTATTTTCATTGTATTGTTACAGAAAGCTTGACATTTGTTCTCAAGGCCAAATCAGAACTAGAACAGTGGTTTGAGGAGGAAGAAAAGAGACATTTTATTAATTTGCCAGCAAAAGGAGGAAGATCGAGACTCCTGTCTGAAATGCGATTATCCTAATAATAAGCAGAAACACCCAGCTTTTAAAGGATGGATTCTCAGCTTCAGACAATTACTGTTCAACTACAGTTGATGATTCTGATCATCCCATTTCTGTCAAAGAAAAGTCTGTGAACTCCACCAGCTGCCCACCTGGGGGCTGGTGCCACCTGGGATAACAACAAAAGGCCTTCTCCCTGCTCCTCCTCCCACGGTTACAGTATGCACGTATTCAGGTTTTTTCTTCATCTTTTTGTTGACGGAACTTTGAGTTTTCCCCACCTTGGTTAATGCTATGAACATTCTTTATGTGTCTTTCAGTATCCACTTCTGCTGCTGCTTGTTGGTTAAGTGCATGCTTAGTGGTAATAGATATGCTGAATTCTTTCCAAAGTGTTTCTACCAATATAAATTACCAATAGTGCCTTATGTGTTTTCTTGTTTTTGTTTTTTTGTGGTTTTTTGTTTTTTTTTTTGAGACAGAGTCTCGCTTTGTTGTCCAGGCTAGAGTGAGTGCCGTGGCATCAGCCTAGCTCACAGCAACCTCAAACTCCTGGGCTCGAGCGATCCTTCTGCCTCAGCCTCCCGAGTAGCTGGGACTACAGGCATGCGCCACCATGCCCGGCTAATTTTTTTTTTTTTTTTTAAATTTTGTCTTGGTATAATAATTTTTTATATATATATATCAGTTGGCCAATTAATTTCTTTCTATTTATAGTAAACGGGGTCTCGCTCTTGCTCAGGCTGGTTTTGAACTCCTGACCTTGAGCAATCCGCCCGCCTCGGCCTCCCAGAGAGCTAGGATTACAGGCGTGAGCCACCGCGCCCGGCCTTTTTGTGTTTTTTTGAGACAGAGTCTCACTCTGTTGCCTGGGCTAGAGCACTGTGGCGTCAGCCTAGCTCACAGCAATCTCAAACTCCTGGGCTCAAGCAAATCCTTCTGTCTCAGCCTCCCGAGTAGCTGGGACTACAGGCATGTGCCACCATGCACAGCTAATGTTTTCTATATATATTTTCAGTTGTCCAGCTACTTACTTTCTATTTTTAGTAGAGACAGGGTCTCACTCTTGCTCAGGCTGGTTTCGAACTCCTGATCTTGAGGCATCCTCCCATCTCGGCCTCCCAGAGAGCTAGGATTACAGGCGTGAGTGTCTTATATTTTAATAGAATCCCTCTGGCTGCTTCATTGAGAACTGACTGTTCAAGGGCAAAGGTGGGAGCAGGAAACCAACCAGTCAAGAGGTTTTGCAGCCATCCTTGCGTGACTGGATGGAGCACAGCCCAGAGCGGTAGCAATGGAGGTGGTGACAAATGGTTGTACTCTGGTTATATTTTAAAGTTAGAGCCAATAGGAATTTCCTGACTGACTGGATATGGAGGATAGAAAAAGAGAGAGACAAGGATGTATCTGAGGTGTTTGGGCTAATCAACTTTATGGATGGAATTGCCATCAGCTGAGATCAAACAGACAGTTGGTTTTAGAGGAAAGATCCTGAGTTCTATTTGGGAATATTACTTCTGAAATGTCCATTAGACATACAAATGGATATTTCAGGGAGGCAGCTGGAGTTCAGGTGAGAGGTCTGACATTGATCTACACTTTGGAGTTGTTTCCAAATGATGGTGTATTGGTCAGGGTCCAATCAGGAAAGAGAAACCACACAGTAATTTGAACAGGAAAAGGTTATATAAAGAATTATTAACTGCAACAGGGGAATGCAGCAATGAGGCTAGTAGGAAGTCAAGAGAATTCAAAAGAATATAGGTGGAGCAGCGACTAGCCTAGGACTGAAGTGAGGGGGGGAGCCCCAGGAAGAGTCTCTCCCAGTACCTTCCTCCCACACTTCATTGGAAGGGCTGCTGCAGCCATGGCCCACTGGGTGTCAGCAAAGTCCCTGTGGTGCTTTACCACTGGAACTTGTGGGAAATTCTTCTTCTTGGTGCTAGGGGAAAGGAAGGTATCTCAGAAGAGTCACACCATAACAAAGCTGCCTGGAGATGGGTGGCGGGGGAGCTGCTGGCCACCATGTCCCTAGGAAGTCACTCTTCTGCAGAAGCCTGGCCAGGGAGAATACGAGAACCAGGGGAAAAAATACCACTGCTTACTCCTCAAAGTCTCTCTCTTGCCCTCTACTGACAAAACTTAACATCATGCCTTTGCTGGAGGAAAAATATTTAAAGGACCCAGCGCCACTTTTACATGGCAGGCAATGAAGAATGAATCTGTGACTGGGATGAAATAAACTGATAATTGATACAGATGTTATATAAAACAACAAAACAGAATGAGATCATCCAGGGAATACATACAGACGCAGAAGAGAAGAAGGCTGAAGGCTGAGCTCTGCGGTCTCTCTTTAACTTAAACAGGCCAGTCAGGAGCAGAAACAGCCAAGGCGGCTGCCACAGCACAGCTAGGGTTGTAGGTGGTGTCCTGGGAGCCAAGTGAATCTAAGACATAACAGGAGGAGTGGAGCGGAGAATGTATTGACGATTATTTGGTGACATTTTGCTGCCAAGGGGAGCAAAGAAAATATACAGTTACTGGCATAGGAAATAGGGTCAAGAAGAGTTTGTTCTGAAGATGAGAGAAATAGCTGTATGTTGTATGGTGAATGGAATAGTCCAGTAGAGAGGGAAAAACTAATGATGTTGGAGAGAGAATAGACTGGCTGGAGTGACACTGTGGAGCAGTAAGTGATGATGGGATGCAGCAGTCCAGTGCAGGATTCCTTGGGTGGACACAGCAGTGGTTCATCTACAGTAACAGGCTGGCATCAGGAGCAGGAGATGTAGAAGGGGAGTCTGTTGAAGACCTCTCTGACAAATTCCATTTTCTTAGTGAGGTAGGAAGCAAGGAAGGGAGAATGGAAAGGATTTTTAAAAATAGAGGAAGTGTGAAATTTTCATTTTCATTTGAAATTTTCATTGGGAGATTGGCAAAGATAGAATTATTATTATTATTACTTGTAGTTTTATTTTTATTTCTTCCTATACCCCGGAGGTAGGGGGCAGAGAGAAGGTGAGTGAGAGGGAAAGAAGAAGGGAGATGGAGGAGGAAAGAAAGAAAAAGAAGAAAGGAGAAGCCTTATGAAAAAACGTTTGCTATGTCAAAAATAAAGCCAGACCAAGTTAGGAAAAAATTTAAAAGCTTGTTGTCATATAATAAGAGAAAGTATAGAACAATATTCTGAAAACTTCAAACCAAGCAGTAAGAGGCTCCAAAGATAGAATTATTAAAGTGAGGACCGCTGGCATGGTCATGTTTTCCTCTAGCCATGTTTAGTTGCAGTGCTGTAGCATGGAATAGAGAATGGTTAATTCAGGGCTCTCACCTTGCCAAGCAGATATAATGAGGTGGGTGTCAGGGAGGTGGGTGAGTTGAGGAGGTGTGAAAGGGACAAATGAGAATGATTAACCACGGAGCTGAAGCTAGCTTACTAGAGAGGGAGAGGTCATGAAGGGAGGAAGAAACAGAGAACAGGTAGTGAGATCTGGAGTGGAGAGGCCGGTGAGGTTACCGGAGTTCTGGTTTCAGGGAGACACGTGGAAAGGTAGGAGACGGTTAGTCAGAGTGGGATGACGCGAGGTGTGTGTGGGGGGGCGTGGCGGATTGCAGTCCTTGGACCTGACAAGGTCTAAGGTCTGATCATGGGGGCAGTGAGAAGCCAAGGTAAGGCAGAGGACAAGAGTGGGCTACATGTGACCAAGAGGAATACATTAATACATATTCTGAAAATGTGTCAAGCTTTGTAGGCAGCTCAAGTAGCTGGGATGGGAGTTAGATGAACTCCAAATCATCTCCTTAGGTGAAATGGGCGGAGCTCTGGGAAGGCAAAGCTATGCACGAAGAAAACTGCAAGATCCTGCGTTTCATGGGGAAAGCCCATTTCCCGGGAACAGAGAAAGGCGAGGCATTTCAGGCTGAGTCAGAGTTGTTAATCCGGACAAAACAGGGTGTTAGAGCACTAAAGAATCCGAGAAGCCCCCCAGCTATGTCCTCTTTAAGGATGAGCAAGTGGACCCCCAATCGGGTGCCCGGGGCTTTCGGGAGCAGGAGCCCAGTGACCCTGGGGCAACCAGGACTCAATGTCTCCTTCCGGCTTTTGTACTGCACCAAGTAACCACCGCCAGGCCGCAGAGTCGCCCTGGCCATCAGCGGGAACCAGCTGCTCAGGAGTCCCACCGCGGGATTTGAGGTGGGCGGGTCCCGCCGTTGGCCAGGCCAAGCATTCCCGGGGCGGAACGTCCCGAGAGGGCGAGGTTCCGGTGGACCACACCGCGCTGACGGCGCCTGCGCCGCACTCAGCCAATCACGAGCCTTCCTTCCGGCTCTCTCCCGAAAGTCGTCCCCCTACCCCGTGAGTCTATTTCTTTCTGCCTTCGTTTCCCTCCGGCCAGTCTGCGGCAGTGCGAATTTCCGTTTCCGGCGGTGTCCATGCGTGCTTGAGGAGCAGCGGTTGTGAAGCGGGTAACTGCTGCAGGCTGGGGGAAGCGGAGGCTTTGGGGTCCCTGGGGCTGCGGCTCTGGGAGCACGAGTCTCGCGCGCGGAATGTCCTCCCTCGGTCCTCCAGGACAGTCTTTGCTCCCAAGGAGTGTCTCATGCGCTGGCCAGACATATTTCGTTGCTGCTGCAGGGGTGACGTTGGGAGAGTGGCTGGGTGAATTCGTGCGGAGATTCCGGACTGGGAGGGAAGGTGGTGGGGAGAGGTTTCCTGGCCGGGTTGTCCCAGCAGGTGACTTAGACCCTGAGGTGGATCTGTTGACTCCAAATTGTTCTTTATTTTTTCCCACCAAAAAAGAAAGACATTTAAAATGTAGTAGAGATGAAAAATAGCTTTTCTGAAATCACACACCTATTTAGTTTCAGAGCGTTCGTAGAGCTCAGCTCTTCTAACTCCCTGCCAGTGTTCTTGACACTATGCTGATATATAACGAGTTATTTCCTCTGGTGTGTGTTTTGGGGAAGCCACTGACTGACTTCTGTGCTCCAGTAGCACTCTGTGCAATCTTCCCATATGGCCCTAAGATCATGTGTTGGAAGATACTCATTGGGATTTCCTCCACTAATCAGATCATGGCTGTATCCATCTGTTTTTTTGAGACAGGGTCTTGCTCTAGCTGCAGTGCAGTGGTGTCATCATAGCTCACTGTGGCCTTGAACTCCTGGATTTCAGATGATTTTCCTGCCTCATCCTCGAGTAGCTGGGACTACAGTCATGCGCAACCAGGCCCGGCCTAAAATGTTTTAAATTTTTTTATTGAAATTTAAGTTTTAGTTTAACTTAGAAAACTGCTTAAAATGAATTAAAAAGTAACTTAACCAGGGATAACCATAAATTTCATTTATTTCTTTATGAAGAAATGCTATATTAAATATTAGTTCAACCAACCAAAGTACAGATATAGAATATTTAATCCTTGCAGAAATGGACACTCATGATGTTGACACTTAAGATGAGTTAAAAAGTAACTTAACCATAAAGAATAAATTTAGCAAAGGTAAGTCATCTAATTTATAGCATAACAGAGAGAAATGAAATTGGGGCTGATTAAGCAGTTTCTACTCCTGTTGGGTCAGCAAATATTTAGAAACTGCTTAATCAGCCCCAATCCCACTTCTCTCTGTTGTGCTGTAAATTAGATGAGTTACCTCGTTAGTCCAGTTGACATCTAGGCCGGAGGTGTCCAGTGTGGCAGCTACATGTGGTTATTTAAATTTAGAATTAAATTAATTAATTTTAATTTTTTATTCAGTTTCCCCAAATGCATTTTATGTTGTCAGTAGCTGCATGTGGTTAATGGTTACTGTATGGGAAAATACAAGGCCACAAGTACCCACTACTTGGGAGGCTGAAGCAGGAGGATCACTTGAGCTCAGGAGTCTGAGTTTGCAGTGAGCTATGATGACACCACTGCACTCTAGCTGGGGCCACAGAGCGAGACTGTCTCAAAAAAAAAAAAAAAAGTACAGATATAGAATATTTAATCCTTGCAGAAATGGACACTCATGATGTTGACACTTAAGATGAGTTAAAAAGTAACTTAACCATAAAGAGTAAATTTAGCAGAGGTAAGTCATCTAATTTATAGCATAACAGAAAGAAATGAAATTGGGGCTGATTAAGCAATTTCTACTCCTGTTGGGTCAGCAAATATTTAGTATATCATCTTTTCATAAATGAAATTTACTGTTTTTCCCCTGGGTGTTGCCCAGATTGTAAAATGCTTCCCCCACTTTCACTCCTACCCCATTCCTTTAGGTTATAGTTATTTGTGAATTGGTAAAAAGCTACTATGGAGACTAAGGACCAAAAGAAACACAGAAAGAAAAACAGTGGGCCGAAAGCTGAGAAGAAAAGGAAACGGCATCTGCAGGATCTCCAACTTGGAGATGAAGATGATGCTCGTAAGAGAAACCCCAAAGCTTTTGCAGTTCAGTCTGCTGTGCGGATGGCTCGATCCTTTCACAGGTATGTGGTTATTCTTCCATTTATTCTTTTTTAAGTGGTAGGGGCCTCTCACAGATAACATGTGGATTTATGACTCTAGTCCAGCTACAAAGGATGTGGAGATGCATGCAGAATGGCTTTTGCTAAAACCTGAGACACCTTCCCCACGAAAGTTGCTTTGCCTCCAGCATCTGCACACTGGTTGGTGGTTTTTGCCCAAGAGGAAAGAATTTATAGAATTTAATTTGTAGAATTTGTTCCTAAACTTTAAACAATTTCTATGGTGATAAATGTGCTCTTTCTGTTTTCTGGATATGTTTTGTTTTGTTTTATTTTTTTTTTTTTGAGACAGAGTCTGACTTTGTTGCCCAGGCTAGAGTGAGTGCCATGGCGTCAGCCTAGCTCACAGCAACCTCAAACTCCTGGGCTCAGGCGATCCTCCTGCCTCACCCTCCTGAGTAGCTGGGACTACAGGCATGCGCCACCATGCCCGGCTAATTTTTTTTTTTCTATATATATTAGTTGGCCAATTAATTTCTTTCTATTTATAGTAGAGACGGGGTCTCGCTCTTACTCAGGCTGGTTTCGAACTCCTGACCTTGAGCAATCCGCCCACCTCGGCCTCCCAGAGTGGTAGGATTACAGGCGTGAGCCACCGTGTCCGGCCGTCTGGATATGTTTTGTATAGTTGTAATATCAAATACTAAAATTGTAATATTTAATACTAAAATGGCTTTATTTAGTGAGTCTTTGCATTATGCCCAGCAGTGTACTTTAAACATTATTGAATTAAATTCTTTCCAACAGCCTTTTGAGAGTAGGAATTATTCTTGTCCTCATCTTATGGATAAGAAAATGAGGCTCACAGAGCAAGTTACCCCCCAGTCATCTAACCAGTAAGTAGGAGAGCCAAATTTAACGCAAAACTTTTTTTTTTTTTTTTTTTTTTTTGAGACAGAGTCTCGCTTTGTTGCCCGGGCTAGAGTGAGTGCCGTGGCGTCAGCCTAGCTACAGCAACCTCAAACTCCTGGCTCGAGTGATCCTTCTGCTCAGCTCCGGTAGCTGGGACTACAGGCATGCGCCACCATGCCGGCTAATTTATATATATATATCAGTTGGCCAATTAATTTGTTCTATTTATAGTAGAGACGGGTCTCGCTCAGGCTGGTTTTGAACTCCTGACCTTGAGCAATCCGCCGCCACGGCCTCCCAAGAGCTAGGATTACAGGCGTGAGCCACAGCGCCCGGCCTAACGCAAAAACTTTTATCTCAGTGTTTGCCTTTGGTTTTCTTTTAGACTCTTAAAATCAATTCATAAAACAATTAGATTAAGGATATGTATACCCTCTATACTATTGAAGTCGTCTTGTTATATCTTTTACTGAAGACCAGATATTTTACTTGGGGCCAAAAGTTAACAATTAACAAGTGATTGTACTTGTATATTGTCTATTCTACTCTCTATAATATTAATACTTGTAAGTATTAATACCTTTTATTCTCTTATATTTGAAAGTGAGTTTGCTTTTTTAAATTCTTTTTTACAAATAGGACTCAGGATCTGAAGACAAAAAAGCATCATATTCCAGTGGTTGATCGTACTCCACTTGAGCCCCCACCAATAGTGGTAGTGGTCATGGGGCCTCCAAAAGTTGGGAAGAGCACCTTGATACAGTGCCTCATTCGGAACTTTACTAGGCAAAAGTTGACTGAGATCAGAGGCCCTGTGACGATTGTGTCAGGTAAGGCATGCTGCCACAGAGCTGGTGTGGTAGATATTGCTGTCTGAAGGACATGCATGTCTTTGTTTCTTTCTTGAGTGGAAAATGTTAAACTAATGTTGTCATGTTACCTGTCTTGTGTTTTTACTAAGTTGGCTGTAGCTTCAAAAAAGCATAGGTTCCTAGAGATACTGATGTAGATGTGTATCTTACTTTGATTGCTCTGTAACTTTGCCAAGTGTGTTCCTTGGAAAGGCTCAGCAGGCCTGGTTACCATGAGTACATTCATTTAACAGACCATAAGTATCTCTTGTGTGCCAGATGCACCTGCTTGCCGTCATGAAGCCACATTCTTATGGAAATGGGACAGAGTTTTCTCTCTTTTTCTTGTGAGAATTTGTCTGCTTTGGGAGCTGGTGACCTTTCTAAGCTTGAGGGAAGTTGAAACAGATTCCCAAAATGGCAATGGTAGAATTTGAAATCCTATTAATGGTGATAATGTAGTGGGATTAAAGCTTTGCTTTATCTTTAGAGTATCCTTATTTTATTTTGTTGGCCATTTATTTTCTTTTAACTATAATTTAGAAATAGTTATTGTTCCATGAATATTCTGTTGCATTAGATTTGATGATATTTTTAGCTATAGTGAGAGTATGGGAAAATTTGATAAGAGATAAAAGCATTGGCCTGCAGCTGACCAACAAGGTCATCATGAAGACTGGCCAGTCAGAATTTTCCCTGTTTGAGCACATATTCATTTATGTAGACTTTTTTTTTTTTTTTTTTATTCCTGTGTTCAATTCTACTTCTGTTTTTTACTAGCTCTGTGACCTTAGGCAAGTCACATCAAATCTGTGAATTTTATCACCAATAAAATGTGAATAATAAGAGCATTTTCTTCATAGGGTAACACAAATTGAAAAAAAAATACATATAAAGTGACAGAACAGTGCCTGATAAATAATAATCACTCTGAACCCATTACTTATTACAATTTTTCAGTCTCTGGACAGGCTAACATTAACCTAGTGGAAAGGATAGGATAGTCTTTAATGATAAAGCAGTTTTGCTGATACTTAAGTTTTTTACTCCTTTATCCTTTGCAACAAGTGAATATCACTTTGTCCTTTGCTATTCAATATATTAAAAAAGCAACAAACACAGGAGGTTTTTTTTTTTCGTTTTCTTTGAAATGTTGCCATGATTTCATCTCATCTTTTGCTCATGACAGAGAATTTATCGTTGCTTATATTATGTTAAATAAGGTCCACTGAAGCACAGAAAATCATAAGCCTCTTCTGACCAAAAATAACTACGTGGTATGCCAAACTGAGTATGTAGACTTTTGATATTATTTTGAACTTGAAAAGAACATAGCAAGAGAGCAAGATGGAATTTATTTTACTAGTTTTCTCTTATAGAAATGAACTTCTGGCACTTTCTTATAAACATATATGTTGTTTTACTGGATGCAATTAAAAAATGATAAATAGAGTGTTAATGGATAGAGTTTTTTTCAGGATTTTTTAAAGTAAAATTTTCATTTTTTCACTTACAGGTAAAAAGCGCAGACTCACCATTATTGAATGTGGGTGTGACATTAACATGATGATTGATCTGGCTAAAGTAGCAGATCTGGTAAGTCAGCGGGGACAGCCTGGGATGTTGATAGAGACTTATAGCAAGCAGTGTGATAGGTTATTTATCCTGTGTTGAAGGAAGAGAATTTTATGATTATTAAAGGAATGATCAGTATCATCAGGGATATAATAAATGTGATTGAATTGATGATAATTATTGTCACCTTAATAAAAATGGAATGTGCACAATGAAATGTATTCTAAAATCTAAAAGCAAACCACAGGGTGGAGAAAACTTTTAATGAACATAGCTAATTAAAGCAGCATGATACTGGCACAAGAACAGAGACCGTAGACCTTTGGAACAGGACTGAGAATCCATAGATGAAACCATCCACGTATGGTAATGTAATCTTTGACAAAACAGACAAAAATATACACTGAGGAAAAGAATCTCTTTTCAATAAATGGTTCTGGGAAAACTGGATAGCTACATGTAGAAGATTGAAACTGGATCCCCACCTCTCACAAAAATCAATTCAAGATGGATAACAGACTTAAACCTAAGGCATGAAACCTTAAGAATTCTAGACGAAGATGTTGGGAAAGCCCTTTCAGACATTGGCCTATGCAAAGAATTTTTGAAGAAGACCCCCAAAGCAATCACAGCAGCAACAAAAGTAAATAAATGGGATCTGATCAAATTAAAAAGCTTTTGCACAGCCAATGAAACTATCATTAGAGCCAATAGACAGCATACAGAATGGGAGAAAATATTTGCTCTCTACACACCTGATAAAGGGAATCTATCTAGAACTTAAAAAAATCAACAAGAAAAAATGAAACAACCCCATCAATAAATGGGCAAAGGAAATGAACAGAAACTTTTCAAAAGAAGACAGAATAATGGTCAGCAAACATATAAAAAAAAGTTCAAGATCTCTAATCATTAGAGAAATACAAATCAAAACCACAATGAGATACCACCTAACCCCAATGAGATTGGTCTCTATCACAAAATCCCAAAACAAATGCTGGCGAGGATGTGGAGAGACAGGAACACTCTTATACTGCTGGTGGGACTGCAAATTAGTGCCAACCTCTGTAGAAAAGAATTTGGAGATACCTCAAAGAGCTAAAAATAGAAATATTGTTTAATCCAGCAATAGCACTATTAGGCATCTACCCAAGAGAGCAAAAGACATTCTATAATAAAGACATCTGCACCCAAATGTTTATGGCAGCACAATTCACTATTGCAAAGATGTGGAAACAACCCAAGTGCCCGTCAATTCATGAGTGGATTATTAAAATTTGCTATATGTATACAATGGAATACTATTCATTAATAAGAAATGACAGTGATCTAGCACCTCTTACGTTTTCCTGGGTAGAGCTTGAACCCATTATCCGAAATGAGGTATCACAAGATCAGAAGAATGGACTTCACATCTACTTGCCATCAAATTGGCACTGACTGATCAACACTGTGGTGCTCATGTGGTAGTATTCTCCAGGAATTAGGGGATTATGAGGGGCAAACTCACAGCTAATGGACACGATGAGCATTGTAGAGGTGAAGGCCATGCCTCTAATCCTTGCTTGGGTGAGGCAAAGACATAAAATGTAAAATAAAATGTAATTTTATTTTAAAGACATAAAATGTTTGTACCCTCATAATACCCTGAAATAATAATAATAAAATAAAGAGCTCACTAGCTTATACATACATACCGTGTTTCCCTGAAAATAAGACAAGGTCTTATTTTTATTTTTCCTCAAGAAGACACTCTAGGGCTTAGTTTCAGGGGATGTGTTATTTTTTTTAAGTACAGTACAACAATCTACATTTATTCAAATATAGTTAAGTCGTCTTCTGGAACATCATCATAACTCTCCAAACCCCGAATTCCATCCTGAATGTCTTGCGACTCTTTCCTTTAGAACCATTGACCCCAGTCTCTAATGTCAAGCAATAGAGCTCTCACAGAGCAGATGAGAAGGGCTGCTCGTCTTTACCGCTCCGTGACAAAATGCATGAGTTGTGCAGATATGCTATGTAGCCAACCCCATCACTAGGTCTTATTTTGGGGGTAGGCCTTATGTTGCGCAAATGCTTAGAAATCCTGCTAGGGCTTATTTTATGGATAGGTCTTATTTTTGGGGAAACACAGTATGTATAAAATATAGTAGTAAATACCATTTCTTGCATCTTTGTTGACACCGTGCTAACTGCTTTCTACGAATTTAGTTTATGTAACTCCCAATACACCTGTGAGGTAAATAGGTATTATCTGCAGTTTGCGAATGATGAGGTTGAGGCTCCCAGCAATTAAGTAACTTGTCCGAGGATGGGAACCCTGCTCCTGACAGTGACAGAACCTCCATTGTTAATGATTATGATAAATTACATACATAGATTATCCTGAAGAAGTTGTATCAGTAGAATATTTAGACAGTACTCAACATATGAAAAATGTGCAGCCTCAATTGTGTTTACGGAAATGGTAGTGTTCATTGATATTCCATTATCTTTTAAATTAGCAAAAGTAAAGTAAAATAAAACCAAAAAAAATTAACCTATATTGACCCCATTGAAGTGTGGGTGACACATACCTTGTTTTGTTTTTGTTTTTGTTTTTGATTCAGCTTTTTCTGGAGAGCTGTTTGGTGACAAAGAGCTATAAGTTTTATCTTTTGGCCCAGGAAGGGTCCTAAAATATAAAAAGTAATATAGATTTTAAAGCTGTCATTTTAATGTCATAAAACTAAACACTGTTCAAAATTTGAACATGTAATGTTACCATTAGTAAAAATAACTATTATTGTTACCACTAAGTTGTTAACTTACTAAATCTTGTGTTTGAAATAATTGAAATAGTTCAGCGTAGAAGTTAACTAGTTTCTCTTCTATGTAAAATATAGCAAGTTTCTAATTTTAAAAACATACCTATTAATAGAGATATCTTTTGTCTAAATCTTTTTAAGATTTTAGAAGGGAGCACACGAATTTGATAAAATATTCAAGTTATACTGTGGAGTACATACTATATATGTTTTCTCTTTCTTTGCTCTGATCCCCGGTGTCTCAGTTCTACTCAGAGCAGTATCCTTCCACATATGTAGAAACACATGCAAAACCTTAAAAACAGAAAGTGTAATTTATTATACACACTGTAATTTATTATGCACACTGTTATTATGCATTTTGCTTTTTTCATGTAATGTATCTTAGAGATACATAACCAGCAAGTACTATAGCTCAACCTTTTTCTTTTTAATACAGTGTTCCATGACACCGTGACTTAACGTGGCTTATGCTGACTGCTCTGCTCTGGGTTGTCATAAAGCTTACTAAGTCATAACAAAGGCAAACTTAGTACATGGGTTTGAGTGTGTTGTGCATGTGAGTGCATTGGCGAGTGATTTAGTTCACAAAGATTGCCAACTGAGGGACTGTTTGCTACCTTTTCTTCCTGATCCTACAGCTAATTGCTTGCCCTTTGGGACTCTGCAGGATCAAATCGGGTGTCTGGATAGTCTACCTGACCTTTGATTTGTTCCAGCGTCACTAAATTCTGCTTGCTGGCTCCATCTGCATCAGCTTTCTCACAGCACTCAGTTGCTCGCCTTCATGTATTCTGTAGTTTAGGATATGGATATTCCCTAGTTTAGTCAAACATAGATATTTCTGTTTCTATTTTTGTTAGCTACAGAAAGATGAGAGCAGAGCTGTCTTTAATATCTAAGCTAGAAATCTCCAGGAATCAATTGTGAAATGATTTTGCATATTTGAAGAGTCTTAAATTTTAAAAATTGATTCAATTTGCTTATATTTTCTTGTAGATTACCATTCATTGTTACTTTACTATTTTTTTTTTTTTTAGAATAGCAATCTACCCTTCTTATTATAAAGGACAGACATGGTTGACAGTTTTATCACTAACAAATAATAACTATCACTCCCTACTTTAAAACATGATTACCAGTATTTGAAATCTTTTCAGAGCAGGCAGGGCCTGCATTTCCTGGGGCAACCAACACTTGTTTGACATGAGACTGCAAGTTTCCAGACCAGTGTATGTTCCCTTCCTCCACTGCCAATTACAAGTACTTAGGCTGCCATTGCTGTCTGTAAAGCAGAAATTCAAAAGGAAAAAAAATACCCGGCCCGGGTGGACGCGCCACTCATACTTAACTTTACTATTTTTTGACTCAATTCTAAACTGGTGGCCCTTAAAAGAATTGTCTGAGCAATTGAATTATACAAATTAACATGTAAGATAGAGCTTTCCATTATATTCCCATTAAAAAACAGATTGAGTTTTTTTTAGGAAGATTGAAACAAAAGATTGGTTTTTCTGTTCTTTTTAATATTTTTCATTGATTATCACTTCGCATTTTTTTTTGAATGTCAGAGACCTATTATTTGGTTTCCTTGTTTGAAACTTGTTATTGGCCTAAAAAGACCTTACAAAAAACTTCATTTCCCGAAGTCAATAACAGCCAAATTAGACACAGCTTTTTCTGAGTTCTCATACATCTGTGTTCTTGAAATGGAAGTTTATATCCTTGTGGGCATTGTCTTATGGTTGCTTTTTAGGGCAAGTCAGGGGTGGTGATTTCTCTGTTGGGGTGATGCCTAGATAGTCATTTGGTTTAGACTCTGGAGCAAGAGTTGGCAAACTTTTTCTGTCAAAGACCAGACAGTAAGTGTGTTAGACTTTTTATGTCGTATAGTTTCTGTTGTAGCTACTTACCTCTGCATTTTTTAGTGCACAAGCAGCCACACATAATATGCAAATGAATTAATATGACTGTATTCCAATAAAACTTAAGTTAGAAAAGTAATGGGCTGGATTTGGCCCTATTTGCTGACCCTTGGTCTAGATTTTGTGTTCTGTTTTTAGGTGCTGATGCTTATAGATGCCAGCTTTGGGTTTGAAATGGAAACATTTGAGTTTCTAAACATCTGTCAAGTTCATGGCTTTCCTAAAATTATGGGAGTTCTCACCCACCTAGACTCCTTCAAGCATAATAAACAACTGAAGAAGACAAAGAAGCGATTAAAACACAGGTTCTGGACAGAAGTCTACCCGGTAGGAAGAGAAATAATTATTGGATACTAACACTATAATCCTTTTAAAATAGAATGAAGCCACATTAATAAACATCTCTGTAGGATTCACCTCCTGAGTTTCCTTTATGTATCTATTCACAGTTCCTGTACCAGGCAGTGTTGGCTCTATTTTTGGGTTGTCATTTAACCACTTCAGTATGAGGGTCGACTGTAGTGTTGGCCACAGATAAACGCACACAGCCGAGCATGGACTTTCGCCAACAGCTGTGATATTGCTGTTTTTAGCCGGCAGCCATGATATGACTTTTCTAATTTTTCATTTATCAAAATAAAATTGTGAACATTTAAAAATAACGTAATAAAAACATATATGTATATGTTACCTATTCTGATTTACATTACAAGTAAAGCTGCCTGTAAAGTAAAACAAGCTTTCATGCTTTCAAGCTTTCCTCATCACACAAGAGCAAAATGGATTCATCCTCGATGCACAGCATAAACTATCGTGCGGACTTTGAGTGCCGGCTGTGGGCAAGGTTTCGTGGCCAGTGAGCACCGTACCGAAGTGGTTAATAGAGTATGTCAGAATTTCCTTCCAGTTACAGGATTAGGCATTGCTACTCTTCCCAGCCTTCTGTGCCCACAGAACCTTTGCTGTGCTCAGAAGCCTCACTTCCCTCCCAGCATCATGCACAGGCTGATGCCACTGCTCTGCTGGAGAGCATTCTGCCCCTCTGAGACCCTAGCAAGATAAGTCCTAAAAGAAGCCAGCAGGGCTCTGGAAGCATCTGGACAGTGGCTTTGCTAGAAGTCTCCCTTCTTAGGATTGCTTGTTATTTAGGACCTTTATTTTGGTTCAGTATTAACAAGAATTTAATTGAAAGTTAATTTTAAATTTTGTTTTAATGTTTAGGGTGCCAAGTTATTCTACCTTTCTGGAATGGTACATGGAGAATATCAAAACCAAGAAATCCACAATCTGGGCCGTTTTATTACAGTTATGAAGTTTAGGCCTCTCACATGGCAAACTTCTCACCCTTATATCCTGGCAGACAGGTAAAAAATGGTTCTAAACTTTTCTTCCTGGCACATATATATCAAAGCTGAAATGGTTAGAGAAAGAACACTGATAACAATTATTTTGTGCCTATTTTAACAGTGTGGGGAGAAGTATAGTTGATGGAAAATGTCTACTTTTATAATCACTTAAAAGTGCTGTGCCTTTGGGAGTAAATCACTTACACGATATTTAGGAAAATGGGAGGATTTTGAAGCATTTAAGATTATAGGATGTGTCCCCGTCCTACTTTCAACCTTAGCTTTCAGTGACACTGTCTTTGTTCCTTGGCATGCGAGTCGTTCAAATATGCCTTGACTTTCCTTCCTTAGTGTTTTTCCTTAAGTGGTTTTCTTAGCTTGGAGTACTCTTCCTCCACCTGCTGGAATCCAAGCCAAACTAAAAAACCCCAGGTCACAGGCCTACCCTCTTCTATAAAGGGATTTTCTGAGTTTGTTCTTCACCCTTTCTTGACCCCAGGTGGCCATCATTTCCCTTTCTGGTGTCTTATGGAATGAGATTCATCTGTGTGTTTGGTCTTCTTCCTCTGGTGGAAGGTGAACTGGGCTTCCTTATTTCTCTATGTTCTAGTTTTCTAAACAACATGCTTAATGAACAAGAATATGACATGAGTCACTAACACACGAAGGGAGGTATAGGAACTTCTAACATTCATTTCTGCCATATGATTTTTCTAGAATGGAAGATTTGACAAACCCAGAGGATATCCGAACAAACATCAAATGTGACCGCAAGGTGTCTCTTTATGGTTATTTAAGAGGAGCACACTTGAAAAATAAAAGCCAAATTCATATGCCAGGTATCCTCTTGTTGTAAAACATACTAGAAATACATGTAGAATTTTTGGGGTGGCTTTTTTTTCTTTTAGCATATTATAGGGGTACAATGCTTAGATTACATATGGCTTTTAATAATTTCTTAGGAAAACTGAAAAATGACCAAACAAGGGAGAGCTGCCTTGCTGGTGGTTAAAAAAGTAACCCAGCCATTTGTCGACCTGTAAAGGTGTTGAGTGGACTGAATCCCCTATTCTGTGACTTTGGTGTCATCCAGCTAGAGACCCACAGTTCCAGTATTGCATTATACCCTTTGTTAGCGCCATGGCGTAAGCCTGTGACCTGCGGGGCATTTTTACCAACAGTTGATGCTTGTTGCCTTCTCAGCTAAAGCTGGCTTCCTGGGTTCTGTCTTTCAGGTGTAGGAGATTTTGCTGTGAGTGATGTCAGTTTCCTCCCAGATCCATGTGCTCTTCCTGAACAACAAAAGAAGCGCTGTTTAAATGAGAAAGAGAAGCTAGTTTATGCACCTCTCTCTGGAGTTGGTGGTGTGCTGTATGACAAAGATGCTGTCTATGTTGACCTTGGTGGCAGCCATGGTTTTCAGGCATCGGTGAGATGGGAGTCTGCTTTTTTTTATTACTGAAAGTAATGTATTCAGCCTTTATTTATTGAAGCTTTTCCTCTTTATTTATATTTATGATAAAAGCCCATATGTATATCAAAAATATACAGAATATCATGAACGCTTCATTGTACTACAGTACTTCTTTTTTTCTTTTCTTTTTTTTTTTTTTTATTCCTGTGTTCAATCTATTCTGTTTTTTACTACTCTTGACCTTAGGCAGTCACATCAAATCTGTGAATTTATCACCAATAAAATGTGAATAATAAGAGCATTTTCTTCATAGGGTACACAAAATTGAAAAAAAAATACATAAAGTGACAGAACAGTGCCTGATAAATAATAATCACTCTGAACCCATTACTTATTACAATTTTTCAGTCTCTGGACAGGCTAACATTAACCTAGTGGAAAGGATAGGATAGTCTTAATGATAAAGCAGTTTTGCTGATACTTAAGTTTTTTACTCTTTTTATCCTTTGCAACAAGTGAATATCACTTTGTCCTTTGCTATTCAATATATTAAAAAAGCAACAAACACAGGAGGTTTTTTTTTTTTCGTTCTTTGAAATGTTGCCATGATTTCATCTCATCTTTTGCTCATGACAGAGAATTATCGTTGCTTATATTATGTTAAATAAGGTCCACTGAAGCACAGAAAATCATAAGCCTCTTCTGACCAAAAATAACTACGTGGTATGCCAAACTGAGTATGTAGACTTTTGATATTATTTTGAACTTGAAAAGAACATAGCAAGAGAGCAAGATGAATTTATTTTACTAGTTTTCTCTTATAGAAATGAACTTCTGGCACTTTCTTATAAACATATAGTGTTTTTACTGGATGCAATTAAAAATGATAAATAGATGTTTAATGGATAGAGTTTTTTTCAGGATTTTTTAAAGTAAATTTTCATTTTTTCACTTACAGGTAAAAAGCGCAGACTCACCATTATTGAATGTGGGTGTGACATTAACATGATGATTGATCTGGAAAGTAGCAGATCTGGTAAGTCAGGGCGGGGACAGGGATGTTGATAGAGACTTATAGCAAGCAGTGTGATAGGTTTATTATCCTGTGTTGAAGGAAGAGATATATGATTAAAAAGGAATGATCAGTATCATCAGGGATATAAAATGTGATGAATTGCATGATAATTATTGTCACCTTAATAAAAGGAATGTGCACAATGAAATGTATTCTAAAATCTAAAAGCAAACCACAGGGTGAGAAAACTTTTAATGAACATAGCTAATTAAAGCAGCATGAACTGGCACAAGAACAGAGACTGTAGACCTTGGAACAGGACTGAGAATCCATAGATGAAACCATCCACGTATGGTAAGTAATCTTTGACAAAACAGACAAAAAATACACTGAGGAAAAGAATCTTTTTCAATAAATGGTTCTGGGAAAACTGATAGCTACATGTAGAAGATTGAAACTGGATCCCACCTCTCCACAAAAATCAATTCAAGATGGATAACAGACTTAAACCTAAGGCATGAAACCTTAAGAATTCTAGACGAAGATGTTGGGAAAGCCTTTCAGACATTGGCCTATGCAAAGAATTTTGAAGAAGACCCCAAAGCAATCACAGCAGCAACAAAAGTAAATAAATGGGATCTGATCAAATTAAAAAGCTTTTGCACAGCCAATGAAACTATCATAGAGCCAATAGACAGCATACAGAATGGGAGAAAATATTTGCTCTCTACACACCTGATAAAGGGAATCTATCTAGAACTTAAAAAATCACAAGAAAAAATGAAACAACCCCATCATAAATGGCAAAGGAAATGAACAGAAACTTTCAAAAGAAGACAGAATAATGTCAGCAAACATATAAAAAAAAGTTCAAGATCTCTAATCATTAGAGAAATACAAATCAAAACACAATGAGATACCACCTACCCCCATTGAGATTGGTCTCCTATCACAAATCCCAAAACAAATGCTGGCGAGGAGTGGAGAGACAAGAACACTCTTATACTGCTGGTGGGACTGCAAATTAGTGCAACCTCTGTAGAAAAGAATTTGAGATACCTCAAAGAGCTAAAAATAGAAATATTGTTGAATCCAGCAATAGCACTATTAGGCATCTACCCAAAGAGAGCAAAATACATTCTAATAAAGACATGCTGCACCCAAATGTTTATGCAGCACAATTCACTATTGCAAAGATGTGGAACAACCCAATGGCCCTCAATTCATGAGTGGATAAATTTGCTATATGTATACAATGGAATATATTCATTAATAAGAAATGACAGTGACTAGCACCTCTTACGTTTCCTGGTAGAGCTTGAACCCATATCCGAAATGAGGTATCACAAGATCAGAAGAATGGACTTCAAATGTACTTGCCATCAAATGGCACTGACTGATCAACACTGTGGTGCTCATGTGGTAGTATTCCCAGGAATTAGGGGATTATGAGGGCAAACCACAGCAATGGACACGATGAGCATTGTAGAGGTGAAGGCCATGCCTCTATCTTGCTGTGGTGAGGCAAAGACATAAAATGTAAAATAAAATGTAATTTATTTTAAAGACATAAAAGTTGTACCCTCATAATACCCTGAAATAATAATAATAAAATAAAGAGCTCACTAGCTTATACTACATACCGTGTTCCCTGAAAATAGAGACAAGGTCTTATTTTTATTTTTCCTCAAGAAGAACTCTAGCCTTAGTTTCAGGGATGTGTTAGTTTTTTTTTAAGTACAGTACAACAATCTACATTTATTCAAATATAGTTAAGTCGTCTTCTGAACATCATCATAACTCTCCCAAACCCCGAATTCCACCTGAATGTCTTGCGACTCTTTCCTTTAGAACCATTGACCCCAGTCTCTAATGTCAAGCAAATGAAGCTCTCACAGAGCAGATGAGAAGGCTGCTCGTCTTTACGCCTCGTGGACAAAATGCATGAGTTGTGCAGATATGCTATGTAGCCAACCCCATCACTAGGTCTTATTTGGGGTAGCCTTAGTTCGCAAATGCTTAGAAATCCTGCTAGGGCTTATTTTATGGATAGGTCTTATTTTTGGGAACACAGTAGTATAAAATATAGTGTAATATACCATTTCTTGCATCTTTGTTGACACCGTGCTAACTGCTTTCTACGAATTTAGTTTATTAACTCCCAATACAACTGTGAGGTAAATAGGTATATCTGCAGTTTGCGAATGATGAGGTTGAGCTCCCAGCAATTAAGTAACTTGTCCGAGGATGGAACTGCTCCTGACAGTGACAGAACCTCCATTGTTAAAGATTATGATAAATTACATACATAGATTATCCTGAAGAAGTTGTATCAGTAGAATATTTAGACAGTACTCAAATATGAAAAATGTGCAGCCTCAATTGTGTTACGGAAATGTAGTGTTCATTGATATTCCATTATCTTTTAATATAGCAAAAGTAAAGTAAAATAAAACCAAAAAAAATTAACCTATATTGACCCATTGAAGTGTGGTGACCATACTTGTTTTTTTTGTTTTGTTTTGATTCAGCTTTTTCTGGAGAGCTGTTTGGTGACAAAGAGCTATAAGTTTTACTTTTGCCCAGGAAGGGCCTAAAATATAAAAGTAATATAGATTTTAAAGCTGTCATTTAATGTCATAAAACTAAACACTGTTCAAAATTTGAACATGTAATGTTACCATTAGTAAAAATAACTATTATTGTTACCACTAAGTGTTAACTTACTAAATCTTGTGTTTGAAATAATTGAAATAGTTCAGCGTAGAAGTTAACTAGTTTCTCTTCTATGTAAAATATAGCAAGTTTCAAATAAAAACATACCTATTAATAGAGATACTCTTTTGTCTAAATCTTTTTAAGATTTTAGAAGGGAACACAGATTGAAAAATATTCAAGTTATACTGGAGTACATACTATATATGTTTTCTCTTCTTTGCTCTGATCCCCGTGTCTCAGTCTACTCAGAGCAGTATCCTTCCACATATGTAGAAACACATGCAAAACCTTAACAGAAAGTGTAATTTATTATACACACTGTAATTTATTATGCACACTGTTATTATGCATTTGCTTTTTCATGTAATGTATCTTAGAGATACATAACCAGCAAGTACATAGCTCAACCTTTTTCTTTTTAATACAGTGTTCCATGACACTGTGACTTAACGTGCCTTATGCTGACTGCTCTGCTCTGGTTTGTCATAAAGCTCCTAAGTCATAACAAAGGCAAACTTAGTACATGGTTTGAGTGTGTTGTGCATGTGAGTGCATTGGCGAGTGATTTAGTTCACAAAGATTGCCAAGTGAGGGACTGTTTGCTACCTTTTCTTCCTGATCCTACAGCTAATTGCTCCCTTTGGACTCTGCAGGATCAAATCGGGTGTCTGGATAGTCTACCTGACCTTTGATTTTGTTCCAGCGTCACTAAATTCTGCTTGCTGGCTCCATCTGCATCAGTTCTCACAGCACTCAGTTGCTCGCCTTCATGTATTCTGTAGTTTAGGATATGGATTCCTAGTTGTCATCAACATATATATTCTGTTTCTATTTTTGTTAGCTACAGAAAGATGAAGCAGCAGAGCTGTCTTTAATATCTAAGCTAGAAATCTCCAGGAATCAATTGTGAAATGATTTTGCATATTGAAGAGTCTTAAATTTTAAAAATTGATTCAATTTGCTATATTTTCTTGTAGATTACCATTCATTGTTACTTTACTATTTTTTTTTTTTTAGAATAGCAATCATACTTTCTTATTATAAAGGACAGACATGGTTGACAGTTTATCACTAACAAATAATAACTATCACCTCCCTACTTAAACATGATTACCAGTATTGAAATCTTTTCAGGCAGGCGGCCGATGCGCTCATTTCCTGGGCAACCAACACTTGTTTGACATGAGACTGCAAGTTTCCAGACCAGTGTAGTTCCTTCTTCCACTGCCAATTACAAGTACTTAGGCTGCCCATTGCTGTCTGTAAAGCAGAAATTCAAAAG